TCCCGCCCAGGGTGTAGGCTCGGGGCGTGACACTAGAAATATTGAATATTGTGAATGGTATTGAACCTGTAAGCTTATTATCTTGTATGGGCAACAATTTCAGGTTCTGAAGATTGCCAATCTCTTCCGGAATGTTTCCTTCAAGTAAATTGGCAGATATTACTAAAGTCTCCAACTTTGAGGCATTTGATATTGCTGGAGGAATTATCCCTGCATTTATTGTATGATAAAAAAGATCATGAGGTGATTAATTAGATACAATAGGACTAGCATTCATAAGATAAAACATATATATACCTGTGAAATGGTTAGCTCCAAGATACAATCTCTGCAAGTTACTCAATCTTCCAATTTCACTATGTATTCGTCCATCTAACTCATTTCCGGATAGAGACAATATTTGAAGTTGTGAACAATTTGACAAGCTTGTAGGCATATGACCATCAAGCTTGTTTCCGGATAGATGAAGCCCTTTGAGTAGTGGGAGACGATTGCATAAACCTTTGGGAAGATCTCCTGATAAGCTATTGTTTGTAAATGCAATGGCTTCGATTCTAGAAATATTGAATATTGTGAATGGTATAGAACCTGTAAGCTGATTATGTTGTATGGACAACCATTTCAGGTTGTGAAGATTCCCAATCTCTTCCGGGATGTTTCCTTGAAGTGAATTGGCAGATATTTCTAAAGTCTCCAACCTTGAGGCATTCGAGAGTGACGGGGGAATGAAACCAGTGAAACTATTATTTCCAAGATTTAAAACTTGAAGTTGGTCTAAAAACCCAAACCAAGAAGGAACCTCCCCATTGAATTTGTTCAAACTTAAATCAAGAAACTGAAGCTGACGTAAGCGTGCCATTTCCTGAGGCAAATTTCCATGGAAATTGTTACTTCCCAAGTCAAGAGAAACAAGAAATGTGAGGTTTCCAAAATCACGGGGAATCTTGCCTGTAAGAGTCATGTTGAAAAGATTCAAGGACTTCACTCTCTGGTGACGATAGTCACAAGTGACTCCTATCCAATGACAAACAGAAATATCTGGAGACCAACTTTCATCCAAGTAATGAAAAGGGTCGGAACTAATTTGGGATTTCAAAGAGAGGAGTTAATTGATCCATAGAAACGTTGGTACGAATCATGGCTGAACAAGACATAACATAGTGAAACAACAAGAGTAATGTTAAGAGAAAAGATCTCAAGGCCTTCTCCATATTTAATTTGTAGGAAAATGGTATGACTATTAGGAGACTTTGCTTTCGAATCTATTTTTTAACAGATCAGTATTAACGAAACTAAAAATGTGTCTTTTATTTGTTGTTGTTGTCAGTTAGATATCCGGAGTGTTGAAACCACTCAGTTTAGATAAGTAGATAAAATTTTCAAGTTATGTGGTGCACAAATATGACAATATTTGGTGCCATCTTCGTTACATATATATCATGTTAAATTATTTTAGCACAACTTTCCATTGTCTTCTTGTTGTTGTTTTCACTTTGTTGAGGATGATTAAAAAAAAAAAAAAACTCTGAATTATGCCAAGTCTTGCTTTCATTAAAGTTGCGCTACATTACTACATCTAATTTTCTTTTAGAAAAATTTCAAAATATATCATATTATCTAGGGGTATGCAAAAACCGAATATATAAATATTGATAAACCAAACTGAAAAAAATGTTATTGTTTTTATTGATATTGGGACGGTTTATTATATTAACCTGGACAATTTGACTTAAGTATCTTCTCTCTTCTTCTAATATACAATAATTTCTCTAATTGATTACTTGGTATGCCATCTTTAATTTCGGGAGATTAATTAAGAATTAGTTTGGCAGAAAGAGCACCAACTTTAATTTGCTTAAAGAATTATATTCCCGAACTAAATAGAGAATAAATAAGAAACTAAAAAATCAAGATCAAAAGAAGGCAGTGAAGACATACCATTAAGGGCATTTGAATTGAGGGATCGTTTTTCTGAGTCCCGTTATTAAACATACTCAACGCAACCACCTAAAAGGTGCTGATAATATAATTAAATAATAAAAGTGTGATTTATCTAACAACTTAAGCTTTTAGATGAGATGGTCACACACTTCAAGGTATCAGAGCAGGCAAAGGTCCTGAGATCAAATCTCACCGCCTCCCAAATAAAAAAATTCCACGTGCTTGGCCCAACTCTCTCTAAGTGGCATAAATCAATCATATATTACTACTAGTGACGAAGAGCCCGTGCAATATTTATTTAAAAGTTAAATAAATAGTTTTAAATTTTAAATTTGAATAAATTATATATATTTATACGGTAAACATTCATGTTAACTTTAAAATTAATACATGATAAATATAAGTATTAACTTTGATCATTTTAAGTAATTTTTATTACATTATTTTAATTTTGTATGCACGGACCAAATATTTATTCATAAATTTATTTATTTAAGCGGTGTTAGTTAAACAATTTTAAATAATCTCATAAAATATAAAATAAATACTCAATAATGTTATTTATAGTAATAAATTTTAAATCATATGAAATTGAATGATTTTATATAAAATATGAAGAGACCTATTTGATATCCATCATTAAAGAATTTTGTTTATCGATTGTTAATTTTTAGTCAAAATGATTACAAAATTTTACATAAATATTATCGATATTTTAAAAATAGTAAAAGCTACAACTTTAAAGGGTTTGAACTTAAAATTAAAGAATATAATTAAAGTTGGTCTCACCATTTAAAAGAAGCAATGCAGTAATTTAAATTAAAATACTCTAGTTTCTTTTCAAAATGGCCTTTTTTAATGTTCCGAAATGCCTTCTGAAAATACATTTCAGCTAGCCAACTAATATTTTGTATGTTTTTTCAAAAATATTTTAGTTGCTAATTTGTTATAATTTATAAAAAAACATTAACGTCATTTTCGAATAACTTGTAGTATCGTTAACTTTCAATAATATATATTGTTCCATCTATTCAAATTCACGTGTCACTGATACCATTTCAAGAGTCAACAAAAAATTTTCTAAAAGAAATATATTTTAAGTTGTTAATTATTGTAATTTATAATACTTTTAACGTCATTTTAAATATATAACATAATACTTTAAGTTGTTAATTATTGTGGTTTATAGAATTTTTCGAACATATAACGTATAGTATGTTTGTAGGCTCTTATTAGATAGTTAAAATATTTTAAATGATTAATTATTGTAATTAAATGCATGGCAAATTGAAAAGGTGTCAAATAGAGAGGAAAAGGGCCCACATGTTAATGAAAGAGGAGTGTATAAAAGTAGGTGGACCATCTTTGTGATAGGCCAATGAAGAGTGTGCTTATTCACTCTTCTTATATAGTACTCCCTCTGTCCCAATTTATGTGACACATTTCGCTTTTCGAGAGTCAAATCGTTTAAGTTTGATCTTCAAATTTGCTCATGGAATCTTCAAATTATTTAAAATGAAATTTATATATTTGTAAACTACATAAAAAGTACTATAAGTTCCAATAATTGATAATTTAAAATATTTAAAAAATATATGAAATATTTACGGTCAAAGATAAACTTGTTTGAATTTCGAAATCCGAAATGTGTCACATAAATTGGGACAGAGGGAGTAATAAGTAGGAACAAAAAAAGTTGAAAGTTGAAATACCAAAATATCCCTATAAAATTGAATTACTACAATAATGCCATTAAAAAATCTACTCTAAATTAAAATGTTATAAAATATTTATTTAATTATATTTAGATAGTAATTTTATAATATTATAGTATACAACACTAGAAAATCCAAAAGTTGTAGTAAATACTATTCATACAATTAATAAATCAATTAATAGTAAGAGACTATATACATTTAACTGTATGTCATTAGTATATGAATAACTTGGATGTTTAGGCTTCTCCTTATAATTTGTGAAACATGTATTTTGAATTTCCATAGACTTAACAATGTGTATTTACTATATCCTGAACTTTGTATCACTTCTTTAGTACTTAATTATGTTTATTTAATGTCAATCTTGAATTGCTTCATCTTCCAATCCTTATTGCAATATTAAATTTTGAAATGTCAATATACATGTAATTAATCAAGGATTTATTTTTCTCATAAAATATACCCAACTTTTTCATTCATTTTCTCCATACACGCAGAGTTTAGAAGTTATAACCATAATTTTTTTTTAGGATTTATTTATTTTCTACTTTAATTATGTGGGCTCAAGGACTTGACCGATTGAAACAAACCAAATCAACAAGTCTTGTAAACCGTGATTGTGGTTTTAACATGTTTTACACAAATTCATGGGGAAGTAAGTAAAATTGTCCATAAAAATATAACATTGATCCTTGACTTATTTTCTGACAGAGATGTCGTCAGAATTTGAATTTTAAATTCTAGGCTAGTGACATCTGGTGGTGTTAATTATGAACTGTTTCTAAATTTAAATTTTATACATAATTAGTGAATTTTTTATATACAAATATTGAATTTGGATTAAATCCATCCCCACACATACTAAAGTCTGGACACAAATGTGTATTTTGCTTGTGTGGGCATGTCAAGAATTCAACTCTTGACATTCTCGTGTTGTGTGTCTCACGCTATTGAAAATGAGAATATTTTGAGCTACAAAAAGGAGGGCTCGGTTTTGTTAATACTCTTTTCATTCTTACTAAAAATAGATGATTCAAGATATTAAGGATATGATAGTTAAAACATATAGTTTCTTAGGGACGTATAAACAAAAAAAAATGTGACTAGTAAAGTGGTCCATATGAAGTATCTATTTCTGCTGATTAGTTCGACTTCCTGTGTCTCATTTTAACTATTATTTTAGCTTTTTTCGCACCGATTAAGTTAAAAAAACAGATGTTTTCTTCTGCATTTTGAATCCACGGGACGGGACATACTGAAGTCTGGACACAAATGTGTGTTTTCCTTGTGGGGGCACATCAAGAATTCAACTTCTTGACATTCTCGTGGTGTGTCTCTGGCTATATATATAAACACACACTCTACAAGTGTGAAATCTCATAATACGGCATAGGGGGAGTCTAAGTTTTTTAGTTTATGAGTTGCGAATTATAATTATTTTTGCTTACTGAGTTCTGATTTGTACATATTAAAAGAATTTTTAACACATAAAATTTGACCCAAAGTTACCGAGTTCCATCAAGTCTGTAGCTATCATTGTGATTCTACCCTGCAAATTGTACAACATTTTAAACCCGCGAGTAGATAGGACCCTGCACATATTACAGCTTTATGACTACTAATCCTGTCAAATAACAATTGGATATAATAAATATAACTACTTGTATTAATCTCTCAACGAAATATAAAAGGCATAATACATAGATATGCCCTTTAACTTTGCCTCATTTTATATTTATGTATGCCCTTTAACTACTTGTATGAAATTATTTAAATAGACACACATGTCCTATGTGACATCCTACATGACAATTTGCGTCCTACGTGGTGCTCTATGTGTATTGTGCCACATATGATTAATGTGTCTACTTGTTCAACTTTATATAGGTTTAAGTGCCTATTTGTGCACACCCAAAGTTTGAGGATATAAATGTGAAATGAAGCCAAGTTAAAGGGCATATATATGTATTATGCCAATATAAAACTCTGCATATTAATGCATACATATGAAAATAACTTTCAAGTACTTTTAATTATTGAACCGTACCAAAGAGGCAGGTCTAGGATCCGATCGACTGTATTGTTCCTAGTAGTTGAGAAAAGTTCTGAATTATGTCATTCGCAAAATGGTGAGTACCATAAAGCTTGAGTTATATAAAACAGAAAAATATATTCAACAAAACACAGCTCTGGATTCAAAATGTGCCACCATGAGACTTATAAAGATAAATTGAATAAAGCAAATCAGAGATATGGACAACAAAGCAAATCAAGTTCCACCATTTTGCAAATGAAACAGTGAGACTTATTGAAACCAATCAGCGTTACAAAACAGCATCAAACGCAAATCAAGGGCTAAAACAAAAAAAAAATCTTTACATGAATCCAACAATTTAGCAAACATTTGCAACAAACAAGTGATCGATTTGGAACAAGAGATTCAGAGAACATGCTCA